AGTTTTAAACAACGGATCGATCGCAGAGTCGGGAACACCGGAACAGCTCTTAGCGGACAACACATCCATCTTCTACTCAATGGCCAAACAGGAAAAACTCATTTAAAAATTCTCTACAAATAAACTTCAGTTTTTTATCTGTTAATTGTCTCTCAATTTTAACTTATATAATTAGAAACAATTAATATCAATAATTATTAATACAATAACAAAAATTAATTTATATTATCTTTAGTCATAAAAAATATTTTAAACTATTGTTTTGTCACTTTTTTACACAGCTTTTAAACGATAAGCCGTTTATGTCTCTAACATAACATACAGATAGAAATTAATGTTTTGCTAAAAACTAAAACACATTTTAATATTTCAATACATTTTTGATTACAAAATCAAATACACTTTTTTATAATACAATTTTAACTGTTTGTGACCGCTATCGGCCTCCCTGTCCGAGCCCTGGCTAGTGTTGGCTACCTTTCCGACCGGCACCGGTGGCCAGCGCTGCCGCCTCTGCCTCTCGGGCCCCGTCCTGTGCGTAGAACACGGCGTTGTAGTGGCCGAGCGGTTGGGCGCCTACGGGTGCACTCTTGACATACACACAACCGTCTATACCGACGTACGCCCGCACGCCGTCCAAGTAATCGTCGGTCAACTTCTTGCCAAACGGCACACGAGTGTATTGGTATACGGGGTGTGAGTGCGGCTGATCCCGGTATTTGAATGTAATTGTACTGTTGTCGGTGCCGGTGTACTGGTACAGCTGATCCCACGGGTGGGGCATATCGCACATGGCTTTCGTGATGCTGTCCTGCGCCCACTCAGTTGACATAAAGCCCTTGTGGAAAGTGCGGTACATTTTCTTTGTAGGGTTTGCCGTGTATTGAATGAGTGGCCAATCGGGCGCCACAAACGGGCGCACATCCGCTGCTGTCCGCCACTCAACACATTTGTAGGCGTTGTACACAATGGGAAAGGGCTGGCGATCTCTCTGGTTCTGGTGCTCCCCAAACGCGTCTCTCATGAGATGTATGTCCGTATAGACGGTGCGGTCGGCGCCGACGCCCAGTATTGTGTTCATCATAGGGTCGGGCGGCACACGAAACCGCTTGAGTCGGTGAATGTGATCGTCGTTATCCATCCAGACGTTGGGCTCGTGTAGGCGTTCGTACAGATGGCGGGCCTTCACTTCGGCGATACCCTCATCCCAGCCAACAATCGCCTCAAACCTCCCGCCCTCTGGAACTGTCAAATAACACGTCCGACCCGTCGACTCCATGTGTTGGACATTGGGTTTGGACTTTTGCTTGATCTCCAACCGCCAGGCGATGGAGCCGTACTCCGACTCATTGGGGGCCAGGAATAGCACCGGACAGCCACTGACACCCGCGTCGGCCAACTGTTCGTGAAGACGGTGTGGGGAACTCCGGGGAAGGCTATGGCCGGCCAGTTGTTGTTGATAACCCTCTCTGGTGAGCAGACAGTGGCGTTTCGGGTGCCGCGCGCCTACATTGCTGAGTGCGAACCAACGCGGGCGCTGATTGTGGCCAAACTCCGGTGCCATGAGCCGGAGCTGGCCCTCCTCCAACACCACGAGACCACCTTGCTGGATTAGCGTACGATTGTGGGTCACACCCGACACAGCGTCCAGATATGGGTCGACGACTACCAGTTTGGCTCCGGCGCACACATACAGCGCGAATCGTCGGTGCGGTCGAGTGGCCACTTGTGTCAACTCCCTGTCCATACAGGCGTCGGTCAGCTCATAGACGCCGCCCCTCTCGTGGTGCCGGTCGTAGGGCTCGCGACGGATGTAATACCGATCGCCCGACTGATACTCTCCGAGTCCGAAGTGGCGATACATGAGACCGACGGTCAGCCAATAGAAACCGCAGTGATTGACGGCTCGGGTCGAGTCGGGCGCCGGCACTCTATCCCACCGGTCGTAATAGGGCTGCGCCAGTGAGTCGGGCGTCGCTCGCGTCCGCGGCATCTGCTCGTACCGTATGGTAGGGTAGAGTTGGTGTACGCGCGTCGGTTCGGAGGCCGCGAACTTCAGTTTCCTGTCGCACAACTCGAGGCACACCGACATCAGAGCACCCGTACGCGTGACGAACACGTGTGGGCCGTACTGTCGCCGAGCGGTGCGCCGCCAGAACTCTCGCATTTGGTTGCCATCAGTCATGTCGAGCCACTTTCCGCGACACTCTGTCCGACCCATGTATAGCAAACCGCTGGCCCGCACCTGAAACAAGCGGTGTATGCCGTGCTGTTGTCCGCCCGACTCCCACCCGCTCTGTATGAGAAGGTATGGGTCGGTGGCGTCCAGGAGTCGGCCCATTCCCGGTGCCGTCGACTCCACGATAACCGACACCTCATTCTCGTGGTGTCCGCAGTGGAAGCGTCGTAAGGCCACTATTGGCAGTCGTATGACTCCCTCCCAGTCCACTGACAATGTGAGAGCATTTGCGGCCATTTGTTTGTCTCCTGTTTTATTCAAATTACTGTTACTGTTGTCTGTGCTATAGGTTTGAGATGTTTGACAGCTTTTGGTAAATCTGATTTTGTTTAGTGTTTGAATTGTTAAGAGTTTTTATTTTTTGGCCAATATTTTGTTAGAATTTAAAATTATTGTGAAATTTGATTACGGATTGTTCTGATACTTTATTTCTCGGATAATATATTACACCCAAACAAATCAGTCAACATTCATTAATAACGTTTGGTAAATTGAAGGCTTTAGGAGTTATTAACGTTATTAACATATACGTTATTAATGAATGTTGACTGATTTGTTTGGGTGTAATATATTATCCGAGAAATAAAGTATCAGAACAATCTGTATTGTTTGTCAACACATTCAACGCATTTGCAATACTTTCAAACATAACATTTGCATTATTATTAAGGACATTATAAAAATGGGACAAGAACATTTTAATTGTTGTAATTTTTAAAAATAATTAGTCAAATAAAAACCTTAAATATTTCACTCCTGCCTTTGACTGTATTACTCTACTATTCCTAGATCAGTTCATATGGTGCGCCAATATGGTCAAATCAAATCAAACATTAATATGATAACTGGTTCCCATAACAACTGATGCATTTTCATTGATAAAAGTAGTGCATTGCACAATATATTGACATTAAAAGCATGTGTGTTGTCAACACATGATCGTATTTTGTCAGTTTATAAGTTGTAATAATCAATTTATTTGATGATGCTTGTAATGTGCAATATTATTAATGGTTCTAGGAACTTATTTGTGAATTAATTAATTTATATCGATTAATTCTATACGTTTATCAAACGTTATGTTGGTAATACCAGCTTGGTATAAATAATAATGTGTAAACCATGTTCAATTAAAATATTAATAGTCAATATTTATGTTATTATTTATCTAAATAATTATTTAAAGTTTATTTGACATAAAGTTTGTTTTAATTGTGTTTTGAATTAAATATTATGTGCTTTGAATTGAGTATAAAAATTAAATTTACTTTATTTTAGTTAAATATTATTTTTATAATGAGTGCAAACTTTTGGGTAAGTTTTGAGAGATTTATTTTTAACACTTGTTTTAAAAGTTATTACTTTTTGTATATTTTAAAGGATTTGAGCCAAACCTGGATTACGGACTCATTTCCCGAGTTTGGTCTCAGTATTGAGTGGACAGCACTCGTATGGATGCCATCCCTTCTATTATTTGTCACATCACTGTATGAATGGCACAATCGGTCGCCAGAAGTGATCACATCCAGGGGTTCATCACATCCCACGACATGGACTCTACTCTCCATCACTAAAATTGTATTAATATTTAATTGAATTAAAAATATAATAATTAATTAAATTGTTTTAGTGTTTATCGGGAGTGCTATTAATGTTGAGTTTATCGCAACTTTTGAATGCAATGAGAAATTCAGATGAAATTATCACACATTTAATAATGACATCAACTTTTGTAAGTATTTGTAAAATATTTATTCAATTAAAATATTAAAATTGGTTTTAATTTCTTTAAAAGGTTTATACAATAGTTTTGATAATTAATCACAAGAAGCGAGTAATGAATACTTCGGGCGTTTTATTCATATTCTGGTTGTGTTTGTCTATCGGAACCGCATTTAACATAAGGACTATATTTTACAGTGCATTTAATGAGGTATTATTTTTTGCTTTTTTTAATCCACTTAATTTACTAATTATTATTAAACACTACATTAAGCGATGTAATTAATTAACTAAATAATTAATTTAATTAAAATTATTATAATTATAATTTTATCAACTATTATTTTTTAGGCACCGATAGAGTCGAGTATAAATGTCTTCACATTTACCACAAAATCGCTTTCATTCCCAATAATTATCACTCAATTATTGCTCTCATGTTTTGCGGACTCAACACAAGTCTTCACAACTGTTGCCGACGAAAAAGTACTGAAAAACAATAGATATTTTAAAACAATTATAAAATTTAATATTTATTAATTTACTCAGAATTCTAGTCCCGAAAATAAGTCATCATTTTTATCTCGACTCACATTTTCATGGTTTACACCAATGATTATGAATGGCTATCGGAAACCATTGACCACTGAAGACATGTGGTCGCTGTCCACACAGAATCGGACCAATGTTTTCATCAAACAATTCAATAAACATTGGAAACCAATACAACAAAACAGTGGCAAACATGGCATCAATATATTTCCAGCGATACTAAAGACCTATTGGCCAACACTATTAATCAACGCTTGTATACTATTGGCGGTCATTTCATTAACATTGACTCAACCCCTAGTACTCGACCGACTCATAACATTCATCACATCCCAGACCAACACGAGCTCAGACACCGGCGAACCCATTTGGAGGGGATATCTATACGCCTTAGCTATGTTTGCGTCGCTTGTGTTGGCATCGGTGCTGAACATTCACTACAAGAGCCGACAGGACCTGTTGTTCATGAAAATCAAAACTTGTGTTACATCCGCGCTGTACGAGAAGGTGATACATAAATTAACACCGAGTGCTAAACATATAATATCAACATGTTTAATCATTTATATTTAAATATTATCATTTCCCCACTACCAGTCCCTACGACTGTCCAGCGCTGGTCGCCAAGACTTTTCCACCGGCGATATCGTTAACCTAATCACCGCTGATATGAATCATTTGATTGAATTTTTCTACTTCTTGAACAATCTATGGCTGAGTCCCGTAACCATAATCATCGCCACGTGTTTACTATGGGCACAGTTGGGCGCCGCCACTCTGGCCGGCGTAGCCATAATGGTGTTAGTCGTGCCAATCAATTCATATCTGATGACCCGCGAGCACCAGCTGTGGGCGAAGTTACCCGAGTATAAGGACAAGAGAGTGTCGGCCATTACCGAGATTATCAATAACATCAAGGTGTTGAAGCTATACGGCTGGGAACCGGCGTTTCTGACCCGTGTGTTTGGCCACAGGGCTCAGGAGTGCCAATTGTTGAACGTAGTAATGGTGATGAGCGCTATATCTAGTAGTATTGTAACTGCCGCACAATACATGGTAAATAAATTTAGACTTGGGTTTTAGTGCATTATTTAATTTATAAATTTATTTCCAATTCTGTACAATAGGTTAGTTTATGCAGTTTTATGGCATTCCTATACATGTCTAATGAGAATATTCTGGACGTGAATAAAGCGTTTGTCTCACTTTTGTTGTTCAATATAATGAGTGAGTGTATTGTGTATTGATTTATCTGTTATAATCATTACAACCAAATTATTTAATAATTATCGCTAACAATAGAAAACAATAATTAAATGAACAATAATTTTCTTAAACTGAATAGAGGAACCGATTATAATGATCCCAGCGATGGTCACTTATACAGTAACCGTAAGTTATTAGTCAATTATGTATGCATTTTAATTTATTTTCAATTTTAATTAAATAACTATTTTTAGGGTAGAGTTTCAGTGAAGCGAATGAATGCTTATTTAAACGCTAAGGAAGTGAATGAGAGTTTCGTTGAACACAAACCCAATCAAAGGACTCCTATTGTCGTCAAAAACGGTTCATTCAAATGGGATAACAATTGCAACGATTCTGTGCTCAAGAATATCAATATAGAGATAGAGAGGCAGTCATTGGTGGCAGTTGTGGGTCGTGTGGGCGCCGGCAAGTCGTCCCTATTGTCGGCTCTATTGGGAGATATGGAGAGAAGTGAGGGCTCTGTGAATGTGAGCGGACGGACAGCTTATTGTCCACAACAGGCGTGGATTCAAAACACAACTCTTCGACAGAATATTCTGTTTAACAGTAAATATAATCCGGAATTTTATGACAAAGTTCTCGATTCGTGTGCTTTAAGACCCGATTTAGCAGTTCTTTCGGCCGAAGATATGACAGAAATCGGGGAAAAAGGGATCAATTTGTCCGGCGGTCAGAAACAGAGGGTTTCACTCGCGAGGGCTGTCTATTCCTCGGCAGACATATATCTATTGGACGATCCGTTGAGTGCTGTCGACCCACACGTCGGACGAC